TGTAGTAGCCGCCGATTTTCATACCAAGTTCCCTAGAAGCCAAAGTAATTGTATATATATATATATATGCCTCTGGTTTGTTCTGTTTTCCTGCTGTGTGGATCTCAAAAGACAAGGGTGAGGATGCGTCACCTGTGATATGTAACCCTAGCACCGGACACTGTGCGATCTTACCTAAACTGAAAACGGATATGCAGACAAGAAGCTATTTAGGGTTTGATCCGATTGACAAGCAATTCAAGGTGTTGATCATGATGGGTATATTTAATAGTGAAAGGGTCCATCGTATTCTGACATTAGGAACTGGAAAAATGACGTGGAGGAATATCCAATGCCCTTTTACTGAGTATCCTTTGCTTAAAGGGATATGCATCAATGGGGTTTTGTATTACTTAGCTCAATATATCGATGAACGAAATCATATATGTTATATGATAGTTTGCCTTGATGTTAGGTCCGAGAAATTCAAGTTCGTAGACGCAATCTGCTTGTTTCATCAATTGATAAACTATAAGGGGAAATTAGGTGGGATTAATTTGAACTACAATAATGGATTTCCCCTTAATATGTGGGTTCTAGAAGATGTCGAGAAACAAGAATGGTCGAAATATGTATACTCTTTGTGTGCTGAGAGTAAAGTCGTTAAGGTTAACCCCAAGCTTTCTGTTGTTGGGATGACTGCTACAGGTGATATAGTTTTGTCGGGGAAGTTTATATCTAATCCATTTTATGTTTTTTACTTCAATCCCGAAAGGAACACTCTCCTAAGTGTTGAAATCAAAGGTCTTGATTATCTTGGTAGAGTTTCCGTCTTTGTAGACCATGTAGAGGATCTTAATGTTTACGATACAAAGCAACTCAATTCAAGCATCTATGCCCACCTGCAACAAGATCGTGGTATGTTTGAGAGCAGTAACAAATTTGATGCTCTGTGTCTTTCAGATGATGATTAATTTACTGGTTTCAAAACCTGATTGCTTCCCAAATGAGCTACAAGCTCTTTACTTGATACAAGTTGTATTCTCTCTTTGTAAACATCAACTAATTATCTAATAAGTTCTTAATAATTTTTTTTATTTAATTCAATGCCACGGCTGAAGTTGTGTTCATAGAATTCTCTATGAGACGTGCACTTATATCTTTTTCCCGTGACAAATAGAGATATGATCAATCAAAGTCGAATATTTTTCGATCACTACTAAAAAAAATTAAATTCTTATATCTTTAGATGGTTAAAGCCCATGTTTCTTGGGCTTTAGGTTAGCGCCAACCATGAACTTCACAAGATTCTTCCACATATAAATTCAAGAGTCTCTGCCATTTGTGATTTCTCTCCGTCGGATAAGCAAATACAACTACAATGAACAGAGGAGGATACTCAGATTCCATCCCTAATGATCTCATTCTTGAGATACTCTCCAGATTGCCTGCAAAGTCAACGGGGAGGTTTCGCTGTGTGTCGAAGCTATGGGGGTCCATGCTTTGCCGTCCATATTTCACCAAATTGTTCTTGACCAGGTCCTCGGCTCGTCCACGTCTCTTAATCAGGATCTACCAAGACGGTGACCAGTTTTTTTTTCTCGTGTCCTCAGCCTCAGAACCCATATGATAACTCTTCTATTGTTGTAGCGGCCGATTTTCATATGAAGTTCGGTAGAGACTCAAGCTACGAAGGTTGTAGATATGCCTCTGGTCTACTCTATTTCATGAGTATGCATTTCTCAAGTGAGGATAAGGATGGAAAGCGTGTGATATGTAACCCTATCACGAGAAAGTTTGAGATCTTACCTAAACCGAGACGATTAACGCACAGAAGCTATGATGAGTTGTTAGGGTTTGATCCGATTGGTAATGAATGGAAGGTATTGTCCATGAACAATTTAGCTAAAGATTATGAAAAGGCTCATTATATTCTGACATTAGGAACTGAAAAAGTGAGATGGAGATGGAGAGAGATCCAACGTCCCTTCAACCATGATCTTCAGGGTGCAGGGATATGCATTAGTGGGGTTTTGTATTACCTAGCTTACGAAAGTGATGATTGGATATATGTTATAGGTTGCTTTGATGTTCGAACCGAGACATTCAAGTCTCTAAATCTGAACTGCTCATATGGATGGTCTTCTACATTGATAAACTATAAGGGTAAATTAGGTGTGATTAATTTGAGGCATGCCAATGATGTTATATTTCCCCTTCAGTTAAGTATGACGGTTCTAGAGGATTTCGAGAAACAGGAATGGTCAACATATGTCTACACTTTGATGGCTGAGAATATAGTCGTTAAGGAGAAACACTATGTTTCCGTTGTTGGGGTGACTGCTACAGGTGAAATTGTTTTGGTGAATAAGAATGCATGCAAACCGTTTTATGTGTTCTACTTTAAGCCGGAAAGTAACACTCTTCTGAGTGTTGAAATCCAAGGTGTTGGAGAAGACCACAAATGGTTCAACTTTCATACAGTTTGCGCCTTTGTAGACCATGTAGAGGATCTTCAGTTTAATATTGTGAAGACACCAGAACAGAAGCGTACGTAAACCCATGAGCACATCAACATCATCCAGAAAAGATCATCAAGGGAGGACCGTTGCTCACCCGCAATAAGATAGTACTGGTACCTTTAATGCGCTGTGTCTTTTAGATGATGATGAACTTTCAGGTGACAAAACCTGATTGCTTCCCTTGCTCCCTCTCAAGTCAGTTGTATTTTGTTCTATAGTTTATACATAGAGTATTAGATATTTTGGCTGTGAGTGATTTTTCATCTACATGTCTAGTTGTGGGTTCTATCATTTTGGACCCCTAATTGTGTTGCAGGATACGTGAAAGCAAAACTATAGTTAGATCCCACGTCAACTGTTTTTTCGTTAAAACTCATATTTTTTATCGTAATGATAACTAATGTTTAGGGTTCTTTTAAAACCTTTGTAGTTTTTGTGTGTTTAACTACTACACAAGTTGGGATTTTAAATTCAGATCACCAGCAAATTAATGACATCTGCATCTTCGTAATTGTTGTATGACATCTCCTGAACAAAGAAGAAGAAGCAAATTGAGACCTAAAGATAAATGAAACAAATAGAAAACAGAGCAAACAGAAAACGTAAATGCATTATCTTGAGAGAATGCAGATTCATAGACTCTTACTTAAGTGAGAGAGATCCCATACAACTATGAAAGAATCAATGGTGACCAATAAAACTTGCTGTAAAAAAATAAAAAATAAAAAAAAAATAAAAAAATAAAACTTGCTGTAACAACTTACTCTTCTCTACTCTGCTTCTTTGTTTCTTGTTGCATGCATTTACATTTAATTTGAACTCTGCTAAAGATGAAAGGTAACACTTTGATTAGCGACTGTGTATGTAAGAATACAACTAATGGGCCACTCGTATCGGCCCATATAAACCAACCACTACAAGTATTTGCCCTAAAAGAATTTATCAAAACCTTGTTCCTCACTCTTCGTCGCTCCATCTTTCTTTCCTTTGTCCTCTCTGGCGGCGTTTCAGATTCGACAATAAGCTAGGTCTGTATATTGAATTTGATTTTGTTTGGGTCTAAAGAAGAAGAACTCTTGAATGATGGAGAAGCCTATGAAGGAGGAGGCTGCGGCTGTAACATCGGTCTTTTGGGACATTAAGAGGTGTCCGGTTCCCCTGGCTGCAGAGCCGGCCCAAAGGTCAGGCCATGAAGCATTTGCTTGCGGCCTTACATAATATATATAAATTTCGGCCCCATTTTTATGAAAGTTCCTTTAGTCTAGTGGCACTGACCATTCCTTGTGTGAGTTAATCGAGTCTCCCTAGTAGTAATAATTTTTTTTTTCTTTTCAATTTTGTTAATTGATTATTTTTTTGTGAATTTAAAAAGCAGCCCATTTTTTTCTTTGCTTGTGGCTTTCAAAAACATAGAGCCGACTCTGCCTGGCTGTGATGCTCGTCTGGTTGGTCGTGTATTAAACGGGCGTTGAAGAATAAAGGCTACTCTGGTCCTCTCACCATCACCGTCGTTGGTATACTATCAGAAGTCCCTGATGACGCCCTGCGAGCGGTCTCCTCCACTGGAATCGTTCTTAATCACGTCGCCACGGGTAATTGATATCTTCTCATCCTTACTTATGCCTTTATAGATATTTTTCTTGAATCTCAAGTCTTTTATTGTTTGTGAAACAAATTACTTACACGTTGCCAATGCTATTTGTGAATGGGCCGAGAGATATCCACCTCCAGCTAATTTAATGGTCATATCCGATAACAAAAATCCTCCTGCTCCTCTTGTCTTCTTTTCTGAGGATGGATATAACATTATTGAGCCGTTTCCATTTGCTGAACTAGAAGGTGAGTGTTTGTCCTACTCTCTCACATTGTCTTGCTGAAATAAGTTGCTACACTAGCTATGTTTTATTTTAATGGATTCAGGGGTACTTGAGGAGGATAAGTGTAGTGCAACGGGTGAATCTGCCTCATGGGTTTGCTCCATATGCGAATATCTTCCTGGCCAAGGCTTTGAAAAATTCATCAACCATCTCTCTAGTCAAAAACATGCACGAAATGTAATCAAGCGGACAGACTTGTTATATTAATACAGATGCAATAATTTTTGTTTGCCTAAATTTTTTTTGGTAAGTTTTGTTTGCCTAAATTTGACCTCAAGTCTAATTTTATTTCCTTTTTATTTATTTTTTATTTATATAAACATATATTATAACTTATAAGCATTTCAATATCATAAAATTCTGTCATATATTATATAATATTTAAATAGAAACCGCAAATCTATAAGTCTAATTTTATGAATGACATAAATATAATTTTATTTGTTTAATAAAGATCATTAAATTATTTAAAATTTAATTTATAAATTTATTTATAGACTAAAAAGTTGTGTTATTGCATGATATTTATATACAATTAGTCTAATTTAAAATATTTTAACATATTTACAAAATTTAGTTTTGACATCTCGGGATTTAATATAAAAAAGTTGAGTTTTTTTTTTAAATCGTTCTATCAAAAAATTAAATAGTATAAGATTTTACTCGTGCATAGCACGCAAGTTCTTAGCTAGTTTTAAATAGAACTAGGTTAATACACTTTAATAAATTAACAAACTTTGATTTTTGAATATATAAATATTTTTTTTTATTATTAAATAGATTTTTTTCCATAGAATAGAAACTTGAGACTTCCTTTCTTTTTTTTTTCTTTTTTTTTTGGCCAACAGAAATTTCCTTTTTTTTCGTTGAATATCTTTAATTTATTTTTACTTTTTGGGCAAAACCTTTCGTTGAATATATATACGAAGAAATTGATATACTTGTATATTTCCATCGTGGCGATTAACTTTGTGAAAGAATCCAATCCTAGACGGCAGCGATTGATGAAACCATCGTCGTGATGGATCTGTTGTGACGTTGGTAGGAAGAGGAAGAAACTCACGAGTGAAGGAAACTCGAAGAGATCGTAACCATCATCCATCGTTAACCATCGTTGCTCACCGAAGTCAAGCTTTTGTCATCACCGTTCATCTCTATTTCATTGGGTAAGAATCCAATCCTGGGCGGCGGCGATTGAAGAAACCATAGTCGTGATGGATCTTGTAAGGCAAGAAATTCTGAAGAAACGGAAGATTCTTGCTGAGGCATCTGGTGGGAAGAAGTTTTACAAGCGATCGGAGATTGAGCAGAAGAAAATCCAGAAGCTTCGAGAGGAGGAACGACGCGAGAAGGAGGTTAAGTCCCAGCGCAGAGCCGAGGCCGCATCAGGTAAGGCTTCTTGCAAATCATCCGTCTCCAAAGCGGCAGCTATGGCTGATTCCAAAACCCTAACCGAAGAGAAGATCATCGAAAACCTCATAGTTCTCACGAAGCAGGAAGTGATTCGCCGCTTGAGATTCCTCAAGCAGCCGGTGACTCTCTTCGGAGAAGATGATCATGTGCGGCTCGATCGACTCATGTATGTGTTGAAGGAAGGATTATTCGAGGAGGTGGATAGCGACATGACTCAAGGAGAGACGAACGATTTCTTGTGTGACATCGCTGAGCTCAAGAAGCGGCAGAAGAGTAGTGGTGTAATGAATGATAGGAAGAGGAAGATTAGAGATGAAACGAGTGATGATGATGATGAACTCAGTGGTGCTGATAAGGAGAATTTGAAGCGTTTAAAAGAAGCTAATTTCGAGGATTTATGCGACGAGGACAAGATTCTTGTGTTCTGCAAGAAGTTATTGCTTGAATGGAAGCAGGAACTTGATGCTATGGAAAACACTGAGAGGAGAACTGCTATAGGGAAACAGATGCTAGCCATTTTTAACCAGTGTGCTAGGTATCTAACTCCTCTCTTCCACTTATGCCGGAACAAGGTAAACAAAATAAATCTAATTTTCTTTTAGTTCCATATAGATGAAGAGAAATAGGCTGGAATGTTCCGTGCAAAGCAAGCAAATTTCTCTCTTTGTGTCTTATTAGGGTTCCATACTTTATGTTTCTGTTATGGCTTACATTTACAAATTTTTGCAGTGTTTACCAGCTGACATTCGTCAAGGTTTAATGGTGATGGTTAACTGCTGCATAAAGCGAGACTACCTCGATGCAATGGCTCAATTCATCAAACTAGCCATAGGGAATGCACCATGGCCCATCGGTGTGACTATGGTTGGTATTCACGAACGTTCTGCCCGAGAGAAGATTTCTACCAGCAGTAGTGTTGCTCACATCATGAACAACGAAACCACTCGCAAGTATCTTCAGTCAGTTAAAAGATTGATGACTTTTTGTCAACGACGCTATCCAGCTATGCCTTCTAAATCCGTTGAGTTCAATAGCTTAGCCAACGGAAGTGATTTACAGTCGTTGCTCGCTGGAGAGAGATTCTGTGGTGCTGATCGCCAACGAGTCTCCGAGGATAGACTCCGAATCATGCCTTCTCTCAACGAAATCTAGCTAGTGTTACAGTTTTTTTCTTGTTTCAGTTTTTCTAAGATAATGATTAAACCATGTATCTTCTTTGTAACTTGACCAAACTATATTGATTAAACGATCTTTCAAACCATGTATCACTTCTTTTATACAAATACAAAATTGATAAACTATAAAGGTAAATTAGGTGGGATTAATTTGGAGTATAATCATGCATGGTAGTGTATTTTCTGTTGAGTTGCGTGTTTGAGTTCTAGAGAATGTCGAGAAACATAAATGGTCAGAAACATGTCTACTCTTTGCCGGAGACGATTGTCTTGCAGTGTCACTACAATATTTGCGTTGTTGGCATGACTGCTACAAGTGAAATTGTTTTGTCAGAGTACAATACATCTATATCAAAACCGTTTTATGTTTTCTACTTCAATCCCGAAAGAAACACAATCCAAAGTGTTAAAATCCAAGGTTTTTAATCGTAGAGTTTATGCCTTTGTAGACTATGTAGAGGATTTTAGTTTTTACGATGCAATGCAACTCAATTCAAGCCCTTTACAACAAGGCCAAAATATCGTTACCAAGAGGCCGAAACCAAAACAGTGGCGGCATACATCTCGTGACCTCTCCAAGTCTGCTCCGTCTGTGAGAACAAGAAACAGAACAAAGTACAAATTCTTACCTAACATGCTCTATCACTCTTTTGGCTTAGCTATTTTATTTTTTGTTGCATTTTGTTTGTTTTCGTTATTTTTAGTTATATCATTCGGTTGGCCTGGCTATTTTTGTTACATATGTGGACATTAGATAAAGACGCCTAATTAGTAGTCTGATTATTCATTTGTTATGAATTATGATTACAATATATTTCCTTGAAAAAATTTCTTGATTAATCATGGAAAATATTAAGAAACTGATCCTTAAATAACGAAACAAAAGACAAGATTCATGGAGTTTTGAAGTAGGACAAGCTTCTGACATACCTTGCAATTGGATCATATTTGTACACCATAAAGGTGATATTCTCTATAATAATCTCTTTGTCCATAAGTCTTGAGCAAATGGTTCACATCCATTAACAAAGATATTTGTACACCATATTTGTCTTCACATTTCCCACTGAGGACTTTCCTTGGTACATACTTGGGTCTAAATCGTTTGATTGGTGAAAGCTCATTGAGAAGCTTATTGAACTATAGTTGATCCCACATCAACTGTTTTTTCCGTTAAAACTCATCTTTTTATCGTAATGATAACTAATGTTTAAGGTTCTTTTAAAACCTCTGTAGTTTTTGTGTGTTTAACTACTACACAAGTTGAGATTTTAAATTCAGATCACCGGCAAATTAATGCAGCATCTGCATTGTAATTGTTGTATGACATCTCCTGAACAAATAAGAAGAAACAAATTGAGACCTAAAGATAAATGAAACAAATAGAAAACAGAGCAAACAGAAAACGTAAATGCATTATCTTGAAAGAATGCAGATTCATAGACTCTTACTTAAGTGAGAGATCCCATACAACTATGAAAGAATCAAGAATGAGTGAATGACCAATAAAACTTGCTGGAACAACTTATTCTTAGCTCAACTAATGGGCCACGTGTATTGGCCAATATAAATCAACCACTACAAGTATTTGCCCTAAAAGAATATATCAAAACCTTGTTCCTCACTCTTCGTCGCTCCATCTTTCTCTCCTTTGTCTTCTCTGGCGGCGTTTCAGATTCGACAATAAGCTAGGTCTGTATATTTTGCTTTTAACTGAGTCAATCTATCTCTCCGAATATTGAATTTGATTTGTTTAGGTCTAAATTAAAGTAGAAGAAGTCTTGAATGATGAAGAAGCCTACGAAGGAGGAGGCTGCGGCTGTAACATCGGTCTTTTGGGACATCAAGAGGTGTCCCGTTCCCACTGGCTGTGATGCTCGTCTGGTTGGTCCGTGTATTAAACGGGCGTTGAAGAACAATGGCTACTTTGGTCCTCTCACCATCAGCGTCGTTGGTATACTATCAGAAGTCCCTGATGACGTCCTGCGACTGGTCTCTTCCACTGGAATCGTTCTTAATCACGTCGCCACGGGTAATTGATATCTTCTCATCCTTACTTATGCTTTATAGATATCCTTGAATCTCAAGTCTTTTATTGTTTCTGAAACAGATTACTTACACGTTGCCGATGCTATTTGTGAATGGGCCGAGAGATATCCACCTCCAGCTAATTTAATGGTCATATCCGATAACAAAGATCCTCCTTCTCTTCTTAGAATCTTAGAAAAGGATGGATACAACATTCTTGAGCCGTTTCAATTTTCTGAACTAGAAGGTGAGTGTTTGTCCTCCTCTCTCACATTGTTCTTGCTGAAATAAGTTGTTGAGCTAGCTTTGTTTTATTTTAATGATTCAGGGGCACTTGAGGAGGATAAGTGCAGTGAAACGGGTGACTCTGCCTCATGGGTTTGCTCCATATGCGAATATCTTCCTGGCCAAGGCTTTGAAAAATTCACCAACCATCTCTCTAGTCAAAAACATGCACAAAAGGTAATCAAGCGGACGGACTTGTTATATCAATACATTTTTGTCCTTGTCTAACTATTTGAGTCAACAAAACCTCTTACCACAACTAGTTTCCCTTTCTCATTTAGTTTTAATTTGTTTGCCTAAATTTGACCCCATGTTTCCATTGGTTGTACATTTTGATTTGGTTTTCAAGCAGTTGTTGACGTTGTTGCCTGTCAATCAACAAGATCAGCATCCTGATTTTACAAAATATAAACAAGACTTGCAGCACCAAGTGATTTGTGACTCCCCTTGATTCTCATCACAAGGATGCTACTACATGGTAAGGACAGTTTTAATATCTGATAACTTTGAGATTTCTATTTCTTAGAATTTTGCGGTTTTCTTAATGAAAACTACAACATAATAGAACAAGTGCACGAATAGGGAGAAGAGACGGAGAAAGATACATTGTGCCTTTGTTTCAAACTCTTCAGAGTTTCTTTCAGTTTACGCCGCACTTACCATTTGTGTTTAGTCCCATAGCTCTCAATCTTAACTCCCTCATTCGAAACTCTGCACGTACCCTTTGATATTTAAACAATACATAAAGTTTTCGTTTACAATCTTAAGCAATCTATATAAAAGTAATATGAATATATTTTGAAACAATCATAACAGTGTAAGAATCTACACCAATATAGAAAAATTTGAGACAACTCAACAAACACTCAAATCTTGATACAAATGAAAATTTGAAAAGTTTTGCTTCATTTTGTTTTTTTAAACATTTTGAAGAAACTCATAGCTCTATTTAACTACACTTTCTTTCCCTCACATTCTCCAATGTTCCTTTGTAAGAAAGACAAAGATTATTAACTCACAAAACAATAACTGGAAAGCAGAGGAAAAAGAAAAGAAAACAGGTCCAATTTCAAGCAGTTTTGGCTTTGCTGTGTTTTTTATTTTATTTTATTGTTTCAAATCTTTTCTAAGATAATGATTTGAACCACGTTATGTTATGATTAAACGATTATTAGAGCATCTCCAATGGTAGACATCCATAAAGTGTCTCACCAATATAATATTAATATTTTTATGTTTATTTTATTTAGAGAAACTCACACTAAAATTCTACTTCCATTGGTGAGATATCTCTATGGATGTCTCATCAATATAATATTTATATTTTTATATTAAATTTATTTTCTAATAATATTTTTAAACATATCAAATTATATCTTAAATACAGTCATTCAAATAAAATAATTATATTTTCTATAGAAGTAAATAATATAATGAATATTGATAATTTTAAAAACATTAATTAATAGTACTATTCATTATAAATAATATATTAAAGAGACTATTATTTTTAAAACCACAATTAAACATAAATTGAATTTTAAACAACATATAAAACCATAATAAAGATATATAAATTAAACACAAAATTACATATAAAACCATGATAACATAAATTAAAATACAAATAAAAACATACAAAACCAAAATAGATAATATATGTTTTACTTTTCACTTGATGATGCGCCAAACTTTTGCTATATATGCTCAACTAAGTCGGCTTTTAGTTGTTGGTGTATATCTCTATCACGAACTCGAATTCGATTGCCGAGAATGTTGCCCAAATTAGTAGGCATAGTTGTAGAATATGTAAAATCTACTTGTGCAATCTCATTTTCTTCTCTTTGATGGAATTGGGAGACATTATATTGAGTGTTTGTCTCGTTCATCTTCGACTATCATATTGCACAATATGATGCAAGCTCTTATTATCTTTCATTTTTTTCTCTTATCCCAAAAAGAGCTGGATTTTTAATAATTGCAAATCGCGCCTGTAACACTCCAAATGCACGCTCAACATCTTTTAATTATATTGGACATTTTGTAAATAATGACAAAAGATAGCACATTATTTATCAAAATATTGACAAAATATCAGATAATTCATCTCAGATTTATTTTCTAATATATAGTATTTATTAACTAAAAATATTAATTTATATTTATATTAACCTTAACTAATATCAATTAAAAATAATAATAATAAAAATTTAAAATTTTGTATAATGGAGCTTGATATATAGATAATTTTATTTTATGAATTGTAGAAAAATAAAAAATAAAAAATAAAAACTTATAAACTATTTAATTGATATTATTAATCTTAGAGCAATTGAATTTAAAAATAAATAGCTCAACCAATCTAGAAGTGACATGTGTATGAAAAAGAGAGTTTCTCACAATGTCTCAAATGAGAAACGTGTCTCAAAATGTCTCACCTTTTTTGATTAAAAAATTAATTTTTATTTATTTTTGATTTATTTTTATTATGCATGTCTCATGGAGACACTACCATTGAAAGTGCTCTTAACTTACAAAAGAACATTCTTTGTAACTCGAGGGTTATGTTATGATTAAACGATTTTTGTGCTTTCTCTTTAAATAATGATGATTAAAGGATGGCGTTTAATAACCCTGACAACGTAACCTTTCTCTCCCTCACCTTCAACAACTTCTCAGATTCCTTAATCTTTTGCTATAACTAAAATGCAAAAGTTGGGGCAAAATGAATAATTGAAATGCAAATGCAAAACATAGAATCAAACGCAAACGTGATTTTGCTAATGCGGTGAAACCAAAAATTTATATATTAAAGGGATCAAAGACAATTTTTTTCATTCAGGCCGGTATTTTTGTTTTATTAAATAAATTATCATATCAATTTTTTTTCTTCTACACAGCTAAAATAAAATTATATGAAGATTAGAAATTATTTTCAAATTTTATTGTGAAAAATATATTAATATTTAAATTTAAATTTTTTTGGAATGTGTAAGTATTTTATATTAATTATGTAAAAAAATGATAAGTCATCACTAACAATCTCTGATATTCGAGAAAAGAAATTGTTTAATTTCAAAATGGTTGACAAGTTTATTTCGCATAAGATTCATTTCACATAACCGATCCGAGATTTTTGCCAAAAAAAGGAGAAAAACACGAAAATATTCTCAAGCAAAGGATTGAACACGAAATATCCATCAAACTCGCTCAGGCTTCAGGGTGTGCCAAGACTTGAAAACTGCATGCTTTGGAAAATCTTGTCAATCTCTCCATAACATCATCGGTAGACTCATGGTAGATAGTGAGTTGATCCAAGCAGTTGAGTTGCGGAAGTAAGACTCAACCATCTCCATAACTCTTTCCAGTTCGTGATCCACTTATATCTCCATCAATTCGATTTGTTATGACAAGTTTTGATTTTGAGTGTGTGTAGACAGAAGAGCTCATCCCCTTCTTGGGGGATATAAGAGTATGAAGGTTATGACAAGCTTCAACAAGGATTGGTAGTAAAGGACAAAACTGAGACATGTCAACGCCAACAATAAGATGACTAATTGGTGAAAGACTAACTCTTCTACACAGCGGATCGAAAGAACCTGAAAATTTCAGAAAATAGGTTTATAAAACAATTTATAGTCATAAGATGATTTTAAGATTTACATATATCCTAAGAGTGGACAAAGACATATAGAGGGTGGTTATATTCTCGAGTAGGTGGAGCTTGAGGTTATGGCAAATACTCATATTGACAAGAGAAGACACGCTTATGGGTGGAATCAAAACCTGGCCAGGTTCACCACAGTCGCACTCGCACAGAAAAACCACGAGAACCTATGTAATGGATGAGCCAATTGTTGAGGCGAACCGTATTTACTGATACTTCTCAAAGTACAAAGAACCTATGTAATGGATGTTGTATATGCACCATATTATCCACAAATTGTAAAAATATGTTCAGATTATTCTCTCATATCGCTTATGGATAATCGATCATGTTCCATTTCACATCAATCACATGGACCAGATGAAAGATAATCCTCCACATACTCAAGCATGGTTCAGAGGACAAGCGAATTAAGCAACCTATAGTAAAACCTTTATAAACTAATATAGCCGGGACCGAGAAATTTAATTAATTTATCGAGTTATTAATTTATCGATAAATTAATAATTAATTTATAGAGAGATTTTACTAATTTTGTAATTTTTTAAAAACATTATATCTGAAAAAATATGTTTCTTTATAATCAATATCTTTCTAAAAAAAATTACAAGTAGAAAAGTAATTATTAAGTTTAGATAATAACGCAAATTTTATTGATGTAGTAAAAATATTAGAATTAAAATCTACCAATACTTAATACAAATTTAAGAAAAAACAAACAATATTAGAGTAATATTTTACATATAATTTATATAAATGTTGATAAGTATATACAATTATTAATTTGTGATATTGATGGGACCATATGTTTATATCAAATTTTTATAAAAGTTATTATCTTATTAATTTATCGATTTGTGTTATTTTTTACACTGGTCCCAATTCGGGACCAGAAGAATTTATATATTTATAGAGGTTATTAATTTATCGAATATTTAAGTTATAGAAATTTTACTGTAATAGGACCATTCATTTATGTTTCTAAAGGCCATCAAATTATTAATTTTTAATAAAAATAGGTTTATATATTGTAAGAGTTACAATTTTAGTCACTAAAAATTGTTGTTTAATTAAGTATTTAACACAATTTTACATAATTTTAAAACTAATACATTATTGTTTAAGATTTTGATTAGTACATTACTGTTTAAGATTTTTAAAGAGGGCCACTGATCTTTAACACAGTCTCTCTCATTAATTAAAAAAAAAAGTAAAAGTTGAAGAGAAATCATGACAACCGAGCAAATCGGTATCAAACATAGAACCAGTCTTTCGAAGCTAGTTTCTCAGGATTAAACACACACACAAGACAATAAAACGAACCAATAAATGTAAAATGAAAGAGAAATCATGAATGAGACCTTAAAACCAAGCTTTCGCAATGACTTTCCCAGGAAAATAAACACAGAGAAGTCTTGCAAGAATCCATAAAAGTAAAAGCGGAAGAAAATTCTATATGTCTCTAATCACTTTTAAGTCTAGTATATGTTCACGAACCGATGATCATCCTAACAAAAGTGTTACTAGTTCTTAACTTCTCTTGTGAAAGATGAGAACAAGAGATGGAGAAATTTGCTTACTCCATCACCACAGTACTTATGACCTTTTCAAGTTGCTGCTTCCTCCCTAAGATTAATTAAAATCATCAAATTAGGTCGATCAACACCTTGTGAGTCATGTCTGTGCGATTTGTATTCTCAAATATATTTTTCCGTACGATCATGGATAGTGGAAAAACTTTTGATTCCATTCCTAATGATCTCTTTCTCGAGATATTATCGAGATTGTCTCGAAAGTCAATCGATAGGTGTCGTTGCGTTTCAAAGCTATAGGCGTCCATACTGTTTTGTCAAGATTTCACCGAGTTGTTCTTGACTAAGTCCTCCGCTCATCCACGTCTCTTGTTTGCGGTCAACAAAGCAGATGATCAGTGGCTCTTCTACTCCGTGCCTCAGTGTCAGAATCCGTCACTTGAAGTAGATTTTCATATGAAGTTCTATGCAGGCATAGACCACCAATACCTGTGTAGCTATGCCTCTGGTTTGATCTATATCCCTGTCCGTTATCTTAGGATCTCAAAGGATTTAGAGTGTATGATGTGTAACCCAACCACAGGACGCTATGTTAGCTTACTTGAACTAGATAGCTACAAAAGGTCGAGAAACTTTTTAGGGTTTGATCCTATTCGCAAGCAACATAAGGTTTTGTTCATGAACAATATAGTCAATGATGAATGGGTTCATCATATTCTGACATTCGGAACTGAAAAATTGATGTGGTGGAAGATCCAATGTACCTTAAACCATGAACCTTTTGGGAAAGAGATATGCATCAATGGGGTTTTGTATTACTCTGCTAGGACAGATCATGCAAATCTTCTGATAGTTTGTTTTGATGTGAGGTCTGAGAAATTCAATTTTATTGATGCATCATACTTCTTTTATACATATACAAAATTGATAAACTATAAAGGTAAATTAGGTGTGACTAATCTGGAGTATGGTGGTTTATTTTCCATTGAGTTGTGTGTTTGGGTTCTAGAGGATGTTGAGAAACAGGAATGGTCGAAACATGTCTACTCTTTAACGGAGACGGTTGTCTTGCAGTGTGACTACAATATTTGCGTTGCTGGGATGACTGCTACAGGTGAAATTGTTTTGTCCCAGTACAATACATCTACATCGAAACCGTTTTATGTTTTCTACTTCAATCCCGATAGAAACACAATCCAAAGTGTGTTAAAATCCAAGGTTTTGGAGATTACCTTAATCGTAGAGTTTATGCCTTTGTAGACTATGTAGAGGATCTTAATTTTTGCAATGCAATTCAACTCAATTCAAGCCCTTTAAAACAAGGCCAAAATATCATTACCAAGAGGCCAAAACCAAAACAACGGCGACATACATCTCGTGACTTCTCCAAGTCTGCTCCGTCTGTGAAGAACAAGAAACAGAACAAGTACGAATTCTTAGCTAACATGCTCTATCACTCTGTTGGCTTAGCTACTTTATTTTTTTTGTTTCATTTTGTTTGTTTTTCGTTTTTTTAGTTATATCATATTCGGTTGGCCTAGCTATTTTTGTTACATATGGGGACAATAGATAAAGACGCCTAATCAGTAGTCTGATTATTCATTTGTTATGAATTATGATTACAATATATTTCCTTGAAAAATTTTCATGATTAATCGTGGGTACATGATCATGGAAAAATTGAAAAAACTGATCCTTAAATAACGAAACAAAAGACAAGATTCATAGAGTTTTGAAGTAGGACAAGCTTTTGACATACCTTGCAATTGGATCATATTTTTACACCATAAAAGGTTAATGGCACAGTGACAAAAACAATTAGAGGAATGATCTGAGAATGTGATGGAGTTGGAATCTATATATATATATATATATGGCTTCAACTTCAATGTCAGCTTTTAATTCAACTCGAGAAATATCCATAGAAATGTAACTATACTAGGTGATTGCCCGCACAAATGCGCGGGAATAATGTTGTGTGAATGGTAAAATCATGTGAAATAAGAAATTGTTTAGGTGTTACTTGGTAGTGTAAGAAAAATATGGTAAATTGTCTAGGGTTTAGTGTGGTAAAATATGGAAAATGATGAAATTAAAAAATCCAATAATATTATAAATGCTAAGAAAATAATAATAAATCATCTTTTAAAACCATTCACCAAGAAAATAAGAAATCAACGAACATCATCACTCCATGGCATTCTCCTTGCGTGTGATGATAGGTACTTGGTCGTTTTCAGGATTCCTGACATCCGATTTAGAACACCATAAACAGTGAATGTCCAGTCGCCAACTTTAAAGTTTTGATTGTAAACGGGAAAAAAAAAATACTTACCAACAAAGCATCTCGTCGGTAATACTGAGATCCGGATTCAACATAATCCTCGTACTTCCTGTAACATTGGTACATCTCCACCTATGTTCCTGTGATAGAACTCGACTACAAGGTCACCCGTTAAACGACACTCTAGATGGATACACCTAATTTTAAGATTTGAAGAAGTCATAAGACTTTATATTCTGGTTTAAATCTTTAAAAAAATAGTGACTTACTCAGTATCACGTAAACCAAAGTACAGCTCAAAATATCCTCCTTGAGAATGTTCCACGGAAGGAACAAAAACCAACTCTCTCACGTTGACAATTTTGCCAACAACATCTATGAAACACACATGAATAATACAGTCAGAACATGAATCGCAAATAAACTCCAAAAGCATAAATAAATTCATAAATTAGGCTTACCAACGCAAATATTCGGATTAACAATACCACTCAATATACTCACAAACTCAGTTAGATTGAAATAGGTTCTACTGGAGCACATATTAATACTTTGCACTAAAGTGTCCGAACGAAACACAATCTTGAATCTATGCGGTACTGGTCTCAATATGCTGTTAACACGTGATACATCAAAATTTTTAATGCTCACCCACTCATCGATTATCAATCTTGAAAGATAATTATCAATTAATTCATCACGAACAACGGCTTCGATTTGGGTGAACTGCAAATAAAACGTTAAAGACAAAACCAATTCAATTTAATATCGAAAACATGTATAGAAGGTAAGTTATCAAAAAACTAACATGCTCGTCACCCAAAATCATATTGAGCTCTCTACCCGAGCCACGCGAAACAGACCAACAATTCAAAATCTTCACCGAGACAGACCACTCACCCATGTTAGGGTTAAGAGACGCAATATGAAAACAACCACCATCACATGAATCAGAGGTAAAAGGTATCATTGTAGAACCCATATCAAAAGATTACGCGGCTAAACAATCCAATGAGGTATAAACGCGTGATACGTATATGTAGACCTAACGATTTTTTGGAAAGAATATAAAAATAGAAAATATATATTAAAAACTAAATCAGAAAATTAACAAAAACGAATATTGATTAAACGATATAGAATTTATCCATAAGATTAATAAATTAAGTTTAGAAAAAAGAAACTAAATCTCAACAGTTAAACTGAAATATATACTAACGAAATTTAAAGGTAAAAATATATCACTCTATTATCAACACCATAATAATAATATATACAAATAGTGTAAGTTATCGTGCATAAACGGTAAAATCATGAGAGATAAAAGAATATTATAAATGGTAAGAAAATAAGATGCCAATCATAAAAAAAAAACAAAAAACAATAATTTCAAGACAATAAGAAAACAACGAACGTCATCATTTTATAGCATTCTCTTTGCATGTGACGATAGGTACTTCGTCGCTTTCAGGATTCCTGACACCCGGTTTATAACATCAGAATCAGTTAACGTTTCGTCGAAAATTTTAGAGTTTTGATTGTGGACGACAAAAAAATAAAAAAGTAATTACCAACAAAGCATCTCATTGGTAATACTGAGATCCGATTCAACATAATTATCAAAAACTCATCAATCAACAAATGATTTCTACATTTATCAAAAGCTCTTTCATTAGACTCCAGAAAATCGTTATTTTACTCATGTTTTTTGTTATCTTTGTTATAACCAAACTCATCTTCAGTAGATGATTTATACGCTTATCAAGAACTCTTTCATCAGACTTCAGAAAACCATCAACTTTGCTCATTTTGTTTTTTTTTCTAATTATAGTTATAGCCAAAATCATAAATCAGAAAGTGATTATTACGTTTAATAACAATTCTTTCATATGGCTTCAAAAAACCGTAAATTTTGCTCATTTTTTTGTTATCATGGTTATAGCCAAACACATAAATCAACAAATAATTTCTACATTTATCAAGAACTCTTTCATTAGGTTATAGAAAAGTATCTATTTTGTTCTTTTTTATTGTTACAATTGTTATAGCCAGCAGAAAACCGTCAATTTTTTTTTGTTATCATGGCTATTGCCACAAACTCATCAATTAGCAAATGATTTCTCTGTGAATCAATAACTTTAACATCAGGCTGCAAAAAATCTTCAATTTTGATCATTTTCCGTTATAAAAGTCATACTAAAACTTTTTACTCAGCAAATTATTTTTACGTTTACCAAAAGCTCTTTCATTAGACTGCAGAAAACCATCAATTTCTTCTTTTTTCTCTGTCATCATGGTAATAGCCAAACTCATCATCTGGAAAAGATTTATACGTTTATCAAAAGCTTTTTCATGAATCTGCAGTTATAGTCAAACTCATCAATCGACAAATGATTTCTACATTTATCAATATCTATTTCATCAGGCTGCAGGATACTGTCTATTTTGCTCTCTTTTATTGTTATCATTGTAACCAAACTCATCAATCAGCAAATGATTTATACGTTTACCAAAACCTCTTATATTAGACAGTAGAAAATCGTCAACTTTGCTCCTTTTTTTTTTTGTATGGCTACAGCCAAACTCATCAATCAGCAAATTTCTAAGTTAATCAAGAGCTCTTTCGTTAGGCTGCAGAAAACCTTCAATTTTGCTCATTTACCGTTATAATGGTTATTGCAAAACTCTTCAATCAGCCAATGATTTTTACATTTATCGAGATCTCTTTCATCAGACTGCTAAAAATCGTCAACTTTGCTCTTTTTCTGTTAGAATGGTTATAGCTAAACTCTTCTATCGGTAAATGATTTTTACGTTTATCAAAGATCTCTTTCATCAAACTGCGGAAAGCCGTCAGTTTTGCTTTTTCTTTTTTTGTTATCATGGATATAGCCAAACTCATCATCAACAAATGATTTCTACGTTTAGCAAGAGCTTTTTCATGAGCCTGCAAAAAACTGTCAATTTTGCTCATTTTTTTGTTATCATTGTTATATCCAAACTCATCAATCAGCATATGATTTCTACGTTACGTTAATCAAGATATCATTAATCGGACTGCATAAAGACGTCAATTTTATCTCTCTTGTTTGTAATCATTGTTATAGCCAAATTCATTAATGAGCAAAAAACAGTCACTTTTGCTCCTTTTTTATTATCATGGTTATAGCCAAACTCATCAATCAAAAATTATTTCTACGTGTATGAAGATCTTTTTCATCGGATTGCAGAAACCATCAATTATGCCCATTTTTCCGTTATAATGGTTATAGCAAAACTCTTTAATCTGCAAACGATTTCTACGTTTATCAAGAGCTCTTTCATTAGACTGCAGAAAACCGTCAATTTTTTTTTTGTTATCATATTAATAGCCAAACTCATCATCTGCAAAAGATTTATACATTTATCATAAGCTTTTTCATGAACCTGCAGAAAACTGTCACTTTTGCTCATTTTTTTCTTTATCATTGTTTTAGCCAAATTCAGCAATCAACAAATGATATCTACGTTTATCAAGATCTCTTTCATCGACTAAAGAAAATCATCAATGTTGTCTCTCTTGTTTTATTTTTAATGGTTACAGCCAAACTCATCAATGAACAGATAATTTATACGTTTACCAAGAGCTCTTTCATTACGTTGCAAAAAATGTCAATTTCGCTCTTTTTCTTTGTTACCATGGTTATAACCAAACTCATCAATCAGCAAAATATTTCTACACTTATCGAAAGCTCTTTCATCATGACGCAGAAATTCGTTATTTTTCTCCCGTTTTTTCGTTAACATTGTTATAGTCAAACTCATCAATCAACAAACGATTTCTACGTTTATCAAGAGCTTTTTCATGAAGTTGAAGAAAACCGTCAACTTTGCTCATCTTATTCTTTATAATCATGATTATAGCCAAACACATATATCAGAAAATAATTTTTACGTTTATCAATATTTCTTCATGAGACTGAAAGAAACCGTCAAT